CTCTGTGCCCGCCTCCCCCGTTTCAGCCGCTGCTGAAACTGACCAGCAGCGGCTGAATCAGGGATGCCGGGGGCAGAGCCGGACTATTGGAAGGGGGGCTATGAAGGGGCCTGGGGTGGGGGGATGCCACCTCAGATCCCTCATAGCCCCCCCTTCCGATAATCCAACATAGTTGATAATCTGGCACCCCCTGGGTCCTAAAGGTGCCAGATTATCGGAAGTTTACTGTACTTACACACTTGTGTGTTTTCAGATTGGTGCCTTCCATTGGAAATTGTTCAGACGAGGGATTTTGTGGGGTTGTCTATTGTATTTTACCTTTGTAAAGCATCATGCTTTGGTTACAATGCCGTGAAAATAATGTCTGGCTGTTGAATCACATCTCATAATCACAATCAGAGTACTTTAAAAAAGTGTTATATCCAGCACTTAGAACAGGAGTGGGCAATAAAAGAGCAGTGATTCACCAGGGGTAGGCTCTGACGGCCCACTGCCACTATATTTAACTCCATCTCTGCAGTATGGGCGGTCACAGCTCCCATTGGCCAGGGACAGGATCTGCAGCCAACAGCTGCAATCCCCTGTGCCTGCAAAGGAGCAGGTAAATATGAAGGTATAGGGACCTGCCAGGGGCTCATCCTGGTGGACCAGATCTGGGACATGGGCCAGTATTTGCCCACCTCTGAGTTAGAGGGATGTAAATTGGTGTACACTGAAATCAATGGGATGTAAATTGGTGTACACTGGTATAATTATGCCAGTTTATACCAACTAAATATCGTGCCCAGCATATGGATTGGAGTTCACCATCTTAGTTGCTCTATTTGAGTTACAGTTACAAGAAGCACTATCAGAATAAGTTAGAGGATTGATATTTGTAGAAAAGCTTATATGAAGGACGAGCTATATGTGTTCTGATTTTTGACAAATGGCAGCTTTTCTAGGCTGGAAACGTGTGGAAACAGGGTTAATGGTGTGGAATTTTTTTCTTTTTCAGTATTAAGATGTTTTGATTGTATAATTATGATCCTTTATGTTACTGAAAGTAAAACTGATTAATTTTATACATTTGTTATGGATATTCAAGATCTGAATTATATGAAAACTCAATGAGTAAAATCCTGGCCCAGTTCAAGTCAATGGCATTTCTCCCATTGAACTCAGTGGGACCAGGATTTCACCTCTGGTGTATGTACATTTGTTTTTCCTCTCTACCCCTCATGATGTTTTAGAGGATTTATTTATATTGAACAAATCACTGTTTTAGATGCTCTTATGCCCCTTCTTAAATACATCTATACTAGCCAATTAATCCGTCATAAGATGGGAGTTTCAGGTCTCTCCTCCACGTCGGTCTTCTCTCCTGAGACTCTGGTTTCTCGTTCCGTCTCTCTCTCTCTCTCTCTCTCTCTCTCTTTTCATGATGTTTTAGAGGATTTATTTATATTGAACAAATCACTGTTTTAGATGCTCTTATGCCCCTTCTTAAATACATCTATACTAGCCAATTAATCCGTCATAAGATGGGAGTTTCAGGTCTCTCCTCCACGTCGGTCTTCTCTCCTGAGACTCTGGTTTCTCGTTCCGTCTCTCTCTCTCTCTCTCTCTCTCTCTCTTTTTCTCTTTCTCTTTCTCT